AGAGCAGAGAAGTGGCGATCAGAGTTGAGAGAGTGATTGAGAGCAAATCGGTAGTTGGCAACAAAATAGAAATGGTACCCTCTTAGCTGTCATTTACAATTTTCAGACTAAATGTAGAACTAAAAGCCTATTGGAATTGGGTCAATTTATGAGTCTCAAATTCTTTTGAATCCGAACACTAAAATTGACGCAATTCTAGAATTTGAAATGAAAATAATGATTACCAAACACCCACAAATTTAATCTACACCATACAAAGCGAAGAAAAAAAAAGCTAGGTGGCCGAGTCTTGCCGACAAAAGAAAAGAATTTATTATTAGCAAAAACAAAAGAAAGAAAATAAAATATAAGTCACGCGCATCTCAGGTGTCCGTAACCAGCTCAAATAAGAACAAAATTTCAAAACAGCTCCAAAGAGATTTTTATTTTTCAAAATCGACCCACCTTTTTTTATTTATCAAAATCGATCCACTTTTTGTCACGTGGGCTTAATGAAGTTCCTAAACAGCCGGGGTTACCAATCCCGACTGTTTAGGAGGGTGTTAAACCACAATTAGAATCCTTAAACCCGAATTTTTCATGTCCTACAAAAAAATGGGTCGATTTTAAAAAATAAAAAACGTTTTGGGGCTGTTTTGAAAATTTACTCGCTCAAATAAATCTCGATCGGCCCAGGCCATCCGATCACCACAGTAAACGAGTGTAAAAAAAAAAGGGAAAAAAAGAAAGAAAAATCTCGCTGCCGTCGTCCTTTAGCAGTCAGTAGCAGCCGCAGGCATAAGATAATAAATGGGAGTGGAGAAGCAAGTGATCAAGGCCGGAAACGGCCCCAAGGTCGTCCGCGGCCAATCCGTCACCGTACACTGCACTGGATTCGGTCCTCTTTCTCTCTCCTCGTTCTTTTTCTAGGGTTTTTTTTTCTTTCAAATCAAAGTTTATTTCTTGTGTCTTTGATCTGGATTTCAAGCAAACCAGAATCTTTAAAATGTCTGGCAATTTTGTGCTTTTCTTAGTTCAACAAGGATCGTCTCGCCTCTTAGGTTGTTTTTTCTCTCTCTGGTTTTCTCTGATTAGTTTGCTAATTTGATTACACTCTTGTTTTTTTAAGAGTGTAGATGTTGATTTGTTGTAGCATGTCATAGATGCACCTCACAAGTTAAAGTTGAAGCAATTTCCATGGAAAGTCTAGCACTGTATGAAATAAATTACTTAAAAGGGGTTGTGATCCTCTCCAATTAGGTGGTAATTGGAGAGTATTGGATTTTTTCAAATTCCTATATTCATCCTAATTTTTAAGCATCGAGATCACTGTTATAAGTAGCGGTAAATAGCCCCGCAATAGCGGCGCTAATAGCGTTAGCGGTCCCTTCACGTGACGCTATCGCCCGATATGCTATCACGCAATAGCGGTGATATATTGTAGAATATGTCTGATCGTAAAAACGGTCAATAGTGTGTCATAACGGTAAATAGTGAGCGATTGCATTCGAAATTTACTTTTTGACTGCTATTTAAAAGCGGTTTTAGGTTTGTTTTTTTAAATTAAACTCAACCCTTGACCATTACATTCCACTGTATCCTGTGATTTTCATCATACTCCCGCCACCTCTCATAGCCTCTGGCACCTACCTTGATACTTCCTCTCACCTCTTTCACTGTAAGCTCCTCTTAGGATGGTCCTGTCATCACTAAGCTCTTCTTCTCGAAGATGACTTTTTGACTCCTTCAGCCATCTTCGGTATTACGTGATGGTTACATGTCTATTTCATATTTAGGATAGATCATCCAATATGTAATTTTAGATTTCTTAGATTTTTTTTAATTTTTTTAGTATTTATACATATCTAAATTAGACCGCTATTTGACTTTTCGCTTTTTATCGCTATTTTGCCGCAATAGCCCGGAATAGCCTTAGCGATGCCTCACCGCTACGCGACGCTATCCGCTATCGATAACATTGGTCGAGATTATGCTACGTAGGATTTTCAGTATTGTGATAGTATTTTCGCAATAGTGATTTTTAAGACAATAGTGATTTTCAAGGCAATGGTGGTAATCCTACGTGGCATCATCTCATCCCTTGAAATAGGAGTAGAGGACAACGATTGAGGCGATTGGACACTTTCCAATTACCATCTACTTGGAGAGGAGATATATCCAAAAAATACAAAACTAGTCGCCCCTTTTCAGCTATTAAATCCTCTCAAGTCCTCGCAAACCATGATGATGATGATGCCCTGATGATGGGCATGATGGGGCGTGAAATGATGCAGAGGATAAAAAGGAAGAGGAAGATGACAAAGCTCTGTCAGGAAGTTTTAGTTAGGTTTTGGGATTGATAAATAGTGAAGGAATAGAAGGATTGATGAAGGATGGATTGGATATATGTTAAAATTTTCTTTTATATTTCTAATTGGTTTATGTAGTTTTTTAAATATATTCTTTGGCTTCAGCGACCTTGGACTCAGGTTGGTTTTACTGGTGTTGATGCCTGAAGGAGTTGAATTGGAGTTTGATGGGAAATGCTTTTGCTTGGTGATTCTGCTGGAGGAAAGAATGAGAGGAGAGGGATGAGGTCAGGAAATTTAGGAGGGTTGTTAAGACTCAAGAGTGGCTCAAGGGATAGGTTTGATGGGAGATCACGGGGGTGATGGAAAATTTTTAGATATTCAAAGGGATATGAGATAGTTGTTGAGATAATCAAAGATTAGGGAATAAAATGATCCTTTTTAATGTGGTCCACATCATTCCACTTTCTAAAAATTTATCACTTAAACCAAATAATGTATTATTATCATATTAGGATTCACAATGAAATGTTAAAAAAAGAAGGATCATGGATGTCTACTTTTCATGCTGTATCATAAATTCACAACCCTCACAAATTCAACCAAATAGGCCCTTTGCATGAATTTAGTTTTGGGTGGCACTTCAGCTTTGTGTGGACACATTGTCAATCTTCTTCGTTGGTAAGATGCAACCAAACAATGTGAACTTGAGAAAGTTGCTTGTGAACGCTACAATTTTAGCATTTTTCAAGTTTTTTAGGGGCAACCGAACAATCCCCAAACGTGCAACCAAACAATGTAAACTTGAGAAAGTTGCTTGTGGAATCCACAATTTTAACATTTTCCAAGTTTTCCTCTCAGAAAAAGGCAACCAAACAACCCCATAACCGAAACGATTTCCACGGAAAGCCTGACACTGTCAGAAATAAATTAATTAAAAGACAAAATTAATCACCCCTTTTTTGGTCTCTTTTTAAGCCATTACCTCTCGAGTCCTCAAAGGTCCTTTGTCTACATCCAACATTCTAAATTAATGAGCCATTACCTCCTCACAACCAATCGCCATGATGATGATGCACATGATGGTGGGTAAGATGGGGCATGATGGAGAGGATGAAAAAGAAGAGGAAGATGAAAAGCTCTGAGAAAATGTTTTTTAGCTGGGGTTTTGTGATTAATAAATAGTGAAGGAAAGAAAGTAAAGAGAAGGATTGATGAGGGAGGGATTAGTTACAGGTTAAAATTTACTTGCATTTTGCTACTTGGTTTTTGTAGTTTTTTTTATCTTTGGCTACAGCTCATTTCAACTACGGCTGGTTTTCTCTGGCTTTGATGCCTGATGGAGTTGAATTGGAAGTTGATGGGTTTATTTTTCTTGGTGCTTCAGCTGAAGGGAGGAATGAGAGGAAAGGGATGAGATCAGGAAATTATTGTTTAGAGAATATAGGCTGAGTGGATAGGTTTGTTGGGAAATCAAGGGGTAATGGAAAATTATTTAGATAATCAAAGGGATAAGAGATAGTTGTTAAGATAATCAGAGATTAGTGAGTAAAATGCTCCCTTTAAATGGGTTTCCATATGAGGTCACTTTCCAAAATTTATTACTTAAACTAAACAATGTATTACTGTCATGTATTATTATAATATTAGGATTCACAATAGTATGCCAAAGGAAAAGCTCAATTGTAAAGTGATGGCGTGGAAGTCCACTTTCCATGTTGTGCCATAAATCCTCAACTTTCACAAATACAACCAAACAGGCCTGATGGGACTGGATGGATAAAGCCCTTGTTTACGACCTGAGATGAGCGTGTCCGTTTTAGGATAGACATATTTATCAATCTTTGTCCAACCTAGTAGATAGCTCTATATTGGAAAGTGGAGAAAGCTGAAAATCAAAATAGATGGATGGAAGGCTGAAGGCTGCATGTCAGTTAAAAATAGACGTGTTTAGGACTTAGCATATGTAACACTATTGATTATATGATCATATTTTGGCAAAAGCCTTATCATGTATCTGTTAGATTTAGCTTAATGTGAAATTGGTCTGACAGTTTTTGTTCGCATTGGTATAATGACTTAGGACTTAGGTGCTGCCTATGTGACTGTAGATGGTGATTTAAAATTGTTAGTGCCTACTCTTAGTTTTCTTTTGCTTATTAGTGGTCTCTCACCTTCTTCAAGTTCAGGAACCAACTCGAAGACATTGAATATTGATTGAACAAGATAAGAAGGCAATTTTATTTTGTCAGTATAATTCATTAACAAACTTTACTGACATTTTCCTTTTGATTAGATTTGTCAGAAGTGATATTTGGTATTTTGGTGATTTGGATAGGAGGCAATGTTAATTTTGTTAATGTGATCCATAACAATTTCTATTTCAATTTTTCTAATGGTTGAAAGCTAGACTTGTTGATAGATCTTTTCATTTAATTTTTTGATAATGCTTCACATTGAGTAGATCTGGATTCAAGCTTCTCAGACAACATTATTCTAGTGACTTTGGCCAGTGTCTTCTGTCTTTTCATATTAAAGATGCACTTGTAGTTCCTCCCATCATGCAGAAGCGTAGACCTAAAGCCTAATGGTTATGGCAGTTATCTTCATGTTTTTAATATTGCAATAAACTATTGCTACTTAATTGAGAAAGCTTACTGAAGGGATTGCCAGTCAAAATTGGGATATCTATATTTGTTAATCCTTCTTTTTCTGTAAAGTTCTCATGCTTGTTTTAGGCCGATGGTCATTGGAGATATTTGGGTAGTAATCTTAACTAGTAGATTATTTTCAGTGTAGTGACAAGACTTTATAGGCCCTCTCTGATAATGTTTTTTTTCCAGTCACTTTTTATCTTCCATGACCTTTCCACATCATTCTTTTTGTCATGCTTTATTTTCCAATCTAGATTACCAATAAACTTAGAAACTTTGGAATAAATGTTTGAGTTCAATTAAGACTTTAAAGTGATGATATATTTGGATCTCTTCGAAGCTAAATTAAATACCATGACATGACTTTCTCAAGAATTACTTACGGTTTTGAGGGACTATAAAAAGTTTCGTAACCAATGAGATTTCTAGGACAGAAAGATGTAGATCGACTCCTAGTGCCAGGTAGTGCTAGGTAGAAACGTGGGAGAAAATATGGAAGAACCAAGGTTTGCTTTTTTATGATTGTCTATGATCTATGATTTTTCTTGTGCCTGCTTTTAGTGGATCATGCTTCCGCACTTACAGGGCAAATCAGTCCCACCTTAGCCAACAAGTTAACAATTTATAATTATTTTAGAATTTGTTAGCTCCATTTTTATCCATAGGAAACAATGAAGTGGTATAGCAGTAAACAACAATGACAGTAAGAGCAAAAAGAAGAAAGAAGCCTAGAGAACCTTTTGAAAGAGCTAAATGAATTGTTTTCTTCCATCCAACTCTGTTAAGCACCATGGCCTGGCTAAGTCAACAACTACGTCATCCTGTCATCCTTTTGAACTTCTTCCATCCATTTTTGTCTCATCTAGACATACCTCTGCTCCTGCTCCAGTAAGTTTTTACATCTGTCAATTCTCAGCCTCTTATTGTTTGTTCCAATATTTCTTTCCTTTGAAGTCCTGTTCTGTTCATGTTAGGCACATTTGATATTGATATCCTTTCTTAAAAGAAAAGGCAACTGAAGTATGACAATATTGACAATATAAAATTATGTGGAGGAGCATCTTAATTTTGCATGTGATGCACTCTCTTAGAGACTCAGCGTCCAGTAAATTTTCATGAATTATAGTGATGCAAGCAGTAACAAGTTGATTTTTTTTATGCCTATAATTGATTATTTCCCATGCTTGCAGATGGCTGTATTGCATCATTAATTTTCTTAGACTTGTACACATCAAGCAGATAACTTTTCCAATTAAATTTTAAAAATATTCAGAATCCTCTTTTGTAACTTATAAAAATGGATAACATATAAGTTATGAAGGACCTTTTGGTTCTAGTGTAAATGAATAATCTAGAGGTGAGGTATCTTGTACCCTGCTTGCTTCTAAGATGCGTTTTAATCTAATTAGAAAATTGATTAATCATCGGCTTTCTACGGGATAAAAATGCCCCTGTGTTCCTCTATTGCTACTTAGCTTCATTATAGATTTGTAGTGTATATGATTGTCTTAAATGCTTCAGTGAACCTCCTCCCTCTTCTCCTTTTCTCCTTTTGTGTAAATGTTAGTAGTTATGTTCCTTTTAATTTTCTTGCAGGCAAGAATAATGATCTCTCACAAAAGTTTTGGAGGTACAATAGCTTATGACTTTATTAATTATCGTTCTTGCATATTGTAAATGTCCATTTAAGTTCATTATAAATTCCTAACTAGATGTGATTGTATGGTTATGTTAATTCTCAGTACTAAAGATCCTGGACAGAAACCATTCACATTCAAGATTGGCTGTGGATCAGTTATAAAAGGTAACCTGAGTGTTAGTTTCTTTTTTCACCTGCATCTTAGTATGAAAGTAATTTGACAATGGTCACTTAGAATGAAAATAATTTGACAATTGTCACTTAGATAGCTCGACTCATGTAAGTAGATTGTAATAGATCATGAAATTGACATAACTGGTACAGTTAAATGTATTGGCTATTTCCTTTTGTCTCACCTTTAAATAATTTGCCTTAAATTTTTGTGAAATCATATGTGTTTTCTTTTTGTGTAGATCGGTAGAATATAGTGAGAAGCTTATTACACTTTTTCTTCAAGAACTTGCATTAGGATAGTGATTGTTTTTGGCTCGTAGGCTTAATGTGTGTCTCACCTAAGCATTTATGCTCAATGTATGCATCTGAAACAAGTGTGTTATCATATACATGCTTTGTCCAATGTTACAGAAGACACTAGGTGGACTAGGCGTTCGAGCCGGGGCCTAGCGCCTATTTTTAAATTTATCTAATTATAATAATTCACAAAAATATGTAATAATTTCATATAAAATTGTAAAAAATATAAATAATAATCTTAGATCCATAATCAACCATGCATAAATACTAAATAGCTAAAATAGCAACAAAATACTAAGAAACATCACCATGTCCAACATAATCAGTTAATCACAGTGAAAAAAATAAAACAATAAAAAAATAAAATTTTTACCTTGAAAAGAGAAGAGGGCTGACGATGAAGAGAAAGGGGGCGGCGAAGAGGAGTCGAGGTGGCTCGAGGAGGAAGTGTAGTGATCAGCTCGAGGAGAAGACAGTGGTGAAGAAGAGGAGCTAGTGAAGAGGTGGCGGGAGTGAAGAAGAGGTAGCGGTGAAGAGGATGAGGAGGCGCGGGAGAGGAGGCGGCAGGAGAGATGCAGCGGTAGAACGGCGGAAATACGCGAGAGAGAGGGAGAGAGAGTCAGAGAGATTGGGTTAGGTTAAGATTTAGTAATTGGTTCGGGTTTGGGCTGGGTTTTAGTTTAAAATTAGGTTTTTTTTTCTTTTGTTTATGGTTCAAAAACCTAGGTGAACCTAGACAGACCTAGGCGGAGTGGCCCTCTGGACTGGCCACTCAGGCCAAATCTAGGCGGCCAAGGCTCCGCCTACACCTAGACGGACGCCTAGGCATCCAGTTAGGCCGTTTTTTACAACACTGGTTTTGGCTCTTTAGTGGAATTCGGTTTGCTGCTTGTTATGGTTAAGGGTGGTGCTCTCACAGGAAGGCAAGCTCTTGGTGGCATGGGCTTAAACTCTACGATCCATAACTAGGTCTATTTATTTGTCAAATCTCTAATTAAGGTTTCACTATACAGTGTTATGCCTTGATCTAATCATTATCAATTATAGAATCTTTGGTACGTGCCACAAATTCACTTAACTAGAAAATTTGTAAAGCCTACCTTCAACCTGCACAAAAATCTTCCTTCATATATAGTTCACAAGAATATTATGATCCCAAAATATCCAAACTTGCATCCATAACTTAGATATGTTTCCATGATCATTAATCTGTATCAACAAAACTACGAGATATATTTTCAACTTACCCATTGGAAAATGGTAGTCTCAAGCATATATTACAATAGTCGTTGCAAATAAAGTTACTTCATTATCGACATACTTGCTCGATGATATGGGCTACAACTATTGGTCTGGTTCACGTTCTTTTAAAACATGTCTGACCTTTTCAATTCACATCTTTTAGAACATGTTTGACCTTTTTAATTCAGGATGAGCTCTTACAGGACAAGTGGAACACATCTAATAATTTGTGTAAGCACTCTATACTATATATATATAATATATATATATATATATATATATATATATATATGGAGAACCTTGGAACCAAGTTCTTTCATTGAACTTGGTAGTGAGCTGGCAAATCTGCCTTCTACATCACGCTTCGAAAGATGGAGCTTTTTTTGGAGTAGGTGAATAGGGATTGAGGCTCTATCTTCAAGACGTGATGTAGGGGCCATATATGACCACGTCACTATCAAGTTCAATGAAGAACTTGGTAGCAAGGTTCTCCATATTTTCATATATATATATATATTATATATATATATATATATATAATATATATATATATATATATATATAATATATATATATTATGAGAGAGAGAGAGAGAGAGAGAGAGAGAGAGAGAGAGAGAAATGGAGAAACTTGGTACCAAGTTGCTCCAAGCAACTTGGTAGTGATATGGCGCTATATCCCGTCTCTACATCTACATTGGAGTTGGTGAAGGTAGTTAAAGCTCTATCTTCGAGGTGTGATGTAGGGGCCAGATTAAGCCACATCACTACCAAGTTGCTTGAAGCAACTTGGTACCAAGGTTCTCCATTTTTCTCATATATATATATATATAATATATTATATTATATATATATATATATATACATACATATACATATATATATATACATATATCATGATATTCATATACAATAATAATATATATATATATATATATATATATTATATATAATATATATATATATATATATACGTCTGAAAGATCCGTGTAATGCTTTGAAAATACTCAACTTCTTACAACATACTTAAAATTTTCTTTATCCATGGGAATTATGCAATTCACATACGTAATCTTGTTGACTATCCTGTCTGCAACAATAATCTACCTGGTAAGCCTATTAAGCTGATTAACCTTCATGTTAAATCTTAAACTGACATCTTATAATGATGACTGCTTGGACCAACTTTCCTACAACAGGAATCAGTTTGTTTCCTCATACCCAGATTGTGTATAATGGCAACCTAGATTGTGTATAATGGCAACCAGTATGGTCCAGGCTTCAACAATTATTTGTGTGGTCCCTGCTACCTACAATTTGATATGTTACAACCTTTGATAGGCATTATTCAGGCGTGTATCTTAGTTAGAAAATAATGCAGCACGGGCTAGCATAATTTGTATATACTATTGTGTAAGAGCATAGCTGCTACAGTGACAATGTCCTCCTAAAGTGCCTAGAATTATCACAGAGTATTTCCAAATCATGTGTTTTAACAGATAATTTAATATTTTTATGATGTTATTTTTATACAAGTATTTCAAAACATAAAGATGTACAAACACCAGTTATACATATGTAGCCATTCTAATAATTCCTTTCTGATGGGAAACGGGTGGAAAGCGGGTGGAGGGCTTCGATCTGTACATGACTATAGACTGCTTGTTGAATCTGACCCGAGTTGAATATTGCTGGAAATTGATAATATGTTGGCTGCTGAAGAAGGATTGATGATGTAGGCTCAGTAGGACAGCAATGGGGCAAAGGTTAGGGGCTTTTTGGCGGGTTTTGGGACTATTTTTTGGGTTTTTGGGCTGTTTGGTAGTTTTTTTTGGCTGTTTGCTGGATCAACCCGAAAAGGGAATGATTGTAGGTTTTAATGAAGAGGAGAGGTTTTGACAAATAGGTTTCATGCCGAAGGGCTTCACACCCTACTTATGTATAGGCTTCACACTAGCGGCCTCATACATGGGGGCTCACACCCATGGCTTTACACTATTAGCAATTCACATGCAAGTTTCAATCTCAAATTTTTTTATTAATCAAATCTGCCTTCTTAAGGAGGCTTACTTTAAAGAACAAAAGACAACTCTTAAGGATGATAAAATCAAATTTCGAAGATTCTAACATCTAATCCTCAGAAAACAAAATAAATATCTAACAAAATCAAATCTCAAAGATCCCTGAATATCCTAACATCAAATACTAAGGAAATCCAACCTAAAATAAAAAGATTGAATTAAATATTTCCAAAACAAAAAGATCTATAAAATCTGGATAAAATATTTGCCAAAATTTCCCTCTTTAAATTCAATCTCCTCGTGGAAAACACTAAGAAGGAATTGTAGGCTTCTTGTGGTGTCATTATGAAGAGTTTGGATCTTGCTTCGTCTCTGGCTTTGGTTTTGATGAGCTTGAGATCATGAAATGAGTTTTTTTTGGAGGAGAGAAGATGGAGATGGATCATTCAACTCTAATACTAAATGATGGAGAACGGGCGGAGGGCTTCGTTCTAAACATGACTTCAAAGTGATGAGAATGTGTTGATAATTTATTAGGCAACGAAGGACAACAAGTAGGACAATCTGGACGACGTTAATAAACAGGAAATAAGTAATGGGTATTGTTCTTCTCCTAATGGGCACTACTCTTTCATCTCGTGACTAGTAATACTACTCTTCAATCGTGAATAGGGATGAGTATACTCTTCAACTATGAATAGTAAACCCTTTTGGGAATATTAGGTTTTTTCAGGTATTTCGCTTGAGTCGATTCGCTTGAGTCGATTCACTTGAGTCGAATGATAGGGATTCTTTTGAGGAGTGGATAAATGGCTTAGATGTTTGTATAGTGGGTTTTGATTGAGTGGGATTATAGTTGGAGGGTTACGATCAAGGTTTTAAATATCGGATATCGGGAAAATATTGGATGATCAAAATTCTTATTGGATTACGGATCTCGGGGAAATATCATGCATATGTGGTAAATATTGGAATGCCATAACGGGTGTTTGCATATATATGATAATGCGGTAAAACGTAATCTCAACATAGTTAATAAAATCTAAGCATGCAAAATATAAATAATACATGTTTAGGATCACTAATCAATATTGTAAAACAAACAAAAATACAAATCAACGTTGCAACATTTCATTTGATTTTGTTTAGGCCAAAATATCATTTGATATAATGGGAAAATCATGATATCTCACCAAAAAAATTGGCAAACGTAGTATATTGTTTTACGACAAGCTATATAAAAGGATATATCAGCCAACACATCACTTAATATATCGGCTATTATCGGGGATATGTCACCTAAAATAACCAAAAATTGATGAAGGATGTTTAGAGACCATATCGGTTGCATCGAGCCTGTAAAAGGATATTTCAGGCAATATATTGGGCCATGTCGGGGATATTTAAAACAATGATTAAGATAAAGAAGGACCTCTCACCCATGGGCTTCAGACCTAAAGAATAGTCTTCACATCGAGGGCTTCATACCATGACACTTCACATGCCAAATAAGCAATTCACATGCTTAGAGAGATTTCTCAAACTCATAAACAGATTTTAATCAAGATTTACTACTCATGGAGGATTAAAACTCTATTTATAGAAAAAGAAAGCATCCAAATAGCTAAAGAAGTAAATCAAAATCCTATCAAATCAAGACCTAACAAAACTAAACGATATAATTAAATAAAATCTTAACTAAACTAGAAAGAGATGTCAAAATCAAATCGTAATGAACTAACTAAAAAGAATATTACATAGAATAAAATGAAATCCTATTAATAAAGCTAATATTCTCATAAATCCTAATCGCATTAGATTAAGGGCCCATGATCTTCCTGCATCACTTTCCATGACTTCTTACTCCTCACGGGTCTCTTCTAATGTTCACTAGGTTTTTATACTGCGAGCAAATCTTCCAACTTAGTTCCATTGGCCTATATCCTCATCCCTAATATCGATGTTTTTGGATATAACACCATCCAAACATAGCTTAGAGCAGTCCTTGGTATTTTTATCTCTTCTAGATTTATTGTTTGGGAATCTAGTTTCAAGAGCCATAAGAACTTTTACACAATTTCTAAAAACGTGTTTGGCTATTTGTACATGCTTTTTGGCACAGAATTTCAAGTTGATAGTGTAGGTAATGTAATGAAATGATCGCCGGGGATAATAATAAATTCTGGACAAAAAATTGGACTTAAAAACAATACTCTACAGACTCTGGTCCTCTGTCATCTCCTACCGTTTGCTACTATACCATAACCCAATTGCTTATGGGTCTAGACACAATGTTGCCTTCATTTTCTGGCCACTCCTGGCCATGAGATGGCTGCTGAAGTTGCTGAAAGCCAGTGAAGGTTGATGGTAGCTGTCAAGTGCTAATTTACCTCACTGTAAGGAACCTAATTGATTGTTTTAGTAATCACACCATTTTCTTCAGTGACACCCAATTATCCTGTGTGTTGTGGCAATGGGCTTGTGATGGGAATATGTTTTCTCTTTTTGCGCCACTTTACTCTAAATGATCTTTGGTTTTATTATTTATTGTTTGTTGCAATATAGTTCAAGTGACGGTGTTCTTGCTTTCTTGGAGCTTGCAAGCTGGGCTTAGGTTACTTGAGGTTTGTCCAATTTTATCTCTAGGTCTAAGTTTGGATTAGAACTTGCAATTTGAGAAATTGTCAGCTTCTTGTCAAGTTTGGTGTATTTGCTTGCACAATTGTAAGTTCTGAGGATGGATGATTAAGTCTTCACTTCAGTCAATTTCTCTTTTTTATGATAAGTTCTAATCCAATTATGTCCCAACAACTATTAAATCAAGTTCTGAAGACATTGAAGGCAATTATGCCTTTTGAGGGCTTGCGACATGCTATCATCTCTGAGCTTAAGGATTGCACATTGTTTTGGTTGCCTTGTTCTCAATTGGTTGTCTGTCATGATATTTTCTTAATCCTTAAAACAAATACTTTTTTCCTAAATTATTTTCATCTCTGCTCAACTTTGAACCGTTTGGTTTGTAGAAGTTATCCCACTAATTATATCAGTGAGTTGCTTTTTCAGAAATTCACTGTTGTTACAAAAGTTCATCAAACAATTGTCTTAATTACATAGTATGGTTTGGTATAGTTATATATATATTTAGTACATAAGTATTTTTGTTTAACTACTTTATTGCCTTTACAAGCACAATAATTAGAGAGAATGGCTGGATGGCAATAGGTTAGCAAAAGAGAAACGAGGAGAGAGAGAAGGTGAAGTGACATATTAATGAGATAATTGTAAAATTTTGATAGGAATGATATAGAAAAATAATGCATGGAGTATAAGAGTTTAAATGCAGGTTTAGTAGTAGGAAATGTGGATGTTATTTTCCACAAATAGAGAGTGAAATAGTTGCTGCGTGTAGCAATAATTATGTATGTAAATGTTTAACTAGCTTATATCCCGTGCAATGCATAAGAATTAGAGAGAGATTGGCTGAATGATCGAGATGGTGAAAGTCATAGGAGGAGATATCATGAAGTGACATATTGATGAGACAATTGTTGAATTTTGATAGGAGTGATGTAGAAATAATGGTGCATGGAGTATAAAAGTTCAAAGACAGGTTTAATAGTAGGAAATATAAGTACTATTTATCAAAAAATAAAGACCAAAAAAATT